CCCAAACCACCAAGTGAAACATAAGGCCATGCTTACTTCACTTCATATATTCATCTCAGGCAGAGGAAACCATGTCAGGGGGTTGTGTCCCATTTGTGGTCTTTCCCTTGGCTTTGTGGTCCTGAATGTGACAATGAAGCATTTTTCTGCCCCCTCCTGGAGCCTGGAATAATCACCCACAAGCCTTCCCCTGCAGAGCTCACTCTTGCACTAAGCCCTGTGCAGTCATACTCACTACAAGAGATTTCCCTGGATGAGTGACAGGCTTAGCTACATGCTTTTGTCATTTTTTCAGACATTTGCTCTCTGCTGACATCTGTCCTCGTACATACGTCTAACTGTTGCATGGATTACAAACCTAAAAAGGGCACAGGACACAGGTGGTATGCTTCTATTCTTGAGATGTTTGCTAGGCAGGCAAACTCTAACTCTTGGAGTGACAAGAATGATGCAAGTATCATCCATGTCCCCTTTCCTCATGTGCTAGTGGACGTTCAGAAAATATTTTCTGAGGGTTTTCTACTTCTGGTCAAATGTTTGGCCTAAACAGCTGTACATGAATGGATTTTTAAAAATTATGTATTTACTATAAAGCAAATTTTTCAAGTAAGTGGATAGATACCCTGACGTTGAAGAATGTACAGTTCTCTTGTCAGAAAGACAAAGATGGCATGTAAAGCATGTCCTAGTTAGAAATATTCCTAGTTAGAAGCGTGTGAAGTCCACCCTGAGGATGTCTTCATGCTGTGAAACTTGGTGACTGAGAGACACTGCCATTGCCGAGCGATAAGGGCTTGGATGAACTATGATGGGAGTTGGATAAGGAATGTTTTTGGATTGTGTTTCTGATGACTTTTGCTTTACTCATAGGCATCACGCCCTGGTCAAATGTCATGGAAATCCTAGAGGAAAAGGATGGAGTTGACACGGAGCTGCTGGTTTATGCAATGACTCTGGTGAACAAGGTTGGTGGATCTGCGTTACGGGGTTGAGTGGTGTCCCCCTGAAAGATATGTTGAAGACGTAGCTGTGATTGTGGGACCTTATTTGGAAATAGATGTAATCCAGTTAGGATGAGGTCAGTAGGGTGGATGCTAATCCAGTGTGACTGGTGTCCTCATCAGAAGGAAAAGAGACACAGAAGGAAGACAGTGGGAGAAAGCCAGGTGAAGACAGGCAGCAGAGATTACGAACACCGTGTGTCTATAAGCTGAAGAATGCTGAGGATTGCTAGTCTAGGCTGAGGCAAAGAAGGAGCTTCCTATAGGGCCTTTGGAGAGAGCATGGCCCTACCATACTTTAACATCAGACTGACAACAAGCTCCCAAACTATGAGAAAATAATTTTAAGTTACCTAGTTGGTGGTATAGTTACAGCAGCCTTAGAAAACTAATGCACCGTGAAAATCTAAAAATCTCCCCCTGAATAAGAGCTATGCCAAGAGCATCCATCATGGTGGCTGGAATGACAGCTGCAGCAGTGTGTCCCCAGGAGAAAATCCTTTATGCCACGTGTGGGGTGAGTGTGCGTGCAGGGGCCCATACGTGTCAGAGCCTGTGTGTCTGTGAGTATTCATGCTTTGGTCTTTTCTAGTAAGAGAGTAGGAAAGGTGACAGTGAGAATTTTATGACTACTTTTCCTGAAAGTTGTCCCCTTAAAACCATTTTTTCCTTAAGAATATAAAGTACCAACTTTTACTCTAAGGAAATAGTTCCTAGTCCAGGAAGAAAAGAGCTGTGCTCTGGTCCCACTGGGTATTGAATTCTGCCTGCCGGGCTGAGAGGGAATCTGGGGTAGGCCCCATCCTCCTTAGATGATGCGGCTACACCTTGGTGCTCCTGTTCCTCCCATCACATCCCTCCCCACTCACCACCTCACTGGGCAGTGGAGGTCCTCGTTGCCCACCCCAGAGGTGTGCTGCTCTGACACAGTTGGTCCCATGCTGACCTGGGACAGGCCCCATCTGAGGACTGAGGTTTCGCCATCCAGATCACTGTGCCTTAGAGTACATCAGCCACCCTGTGGACCTTCCTATGCCCTCCAGGCTGCTGGACATGAGCCTGCAGGACCAAGTGCAGAGATGGTCAGGGCTTCAGAAAGATCCAGAGTCCCTTCCTGAAATACAACTGAAGAAACGTTTCTGGTGAACGGGGGATAAATTTATAGAGAGCAGTATCTTTATGAGGTGCAACTTCTACTAGAAAGTAACACGTGCAGACTCTGAGGATTAAAACCATGTGGTCCGCCTTTTCCCTCAGTGGACAGATGATTGGCACAGAGGAGCTCTGAAGCAGACCTCCACGTGCGGAACAACTTGTTGTACAGCGGACGTCAGTGGGGATGGGTTAGCTTCCTCCGTAATCGGGGCACTCTTGCTAAATAGAAATAAATAAGAGCATATTTTGACCAGATACGACAGTTAATCCTTGACAGATTAAAGAGTTTAATGTGACACATAAAATTGCAGAAGAAAACATGGAAAGAGATGAAGACTAACCGGTCCCCAGTTGGTAAAGATTATTTTAATAACACCAGTGGAAAAGGTTCCAAAGAAAAGTATTTGAATATTTCCCTGCATAAGATTGGAAAAGATCTTACTCATAAAATGAAAACCCCAAATTATAACTAAATGCAAATTACAAAGTGGGACGTTGTTTGAAAAAAAAAAATAGAGTGGAAAGTACTATTATAAATACAGAGAGTACAAAAAAGAAGTATACAGATTTTAAGAAAGGAAAAAACTATTAAAATTATGCTCACGTCATGTTTGACTTTTGCGATTATAAAAGATACAGTGTATAAGGTAACAGATGTTATCAGTATATATTGAGTATTCCTTTTTTGGTTTTTTTTTAATGCTTTATTAAATCATAACTGTGTACATTAATGCACTTATGGGATACAATGTGCTGACTTGATATACAATGTGGAATGCTTACATCTAATCGATGACTAATATAATCATCTCCTTATTTGTTGTGGCAAACGCAATCATTCTCTGTTCTTAGTAGTATGGAAATGTATCATTGCAATTGTTACATTTTTAATAGTTTTTCCTTTCTTAAAATGTGTCTATATTTTTTGGCATCCTCTGTATACGAAAATGAAAATGAAAGATGTTAAACCAACTGAGAATAAAAGAAATATATAGTAAAAAAGACTTTTTCCCTAGGTCACACTGGGAGTAATTGTTTTTTTATTTTTTTAAATTTAAAAAATAAAAATTGTTTATTTTGGTATATGTATACATTGTGAAATAACCACCCTCATTCCAGCTTATACAAAAAAAGAATTCATAGGGGTAAAACTATAACCTAGGGAACAAAATGGGAGGTGGTAGTTTAAATACCAATTATAAGTGAGCATGGAGACCTCAGACATAGATAGAGACGTGTGAGGTAACAAGTGTGGAAGTGATTGTTTTTTAATGAAGTATCATTTGTTGATGAGCACACAGGAAACTCTCCTGCAGTCCTGGTGGGATATGGGCACAATTTTCCAAAAGGCGATCCTAAGAACTCTGCTTTTATTTTAAAAATCTGCATGTGGGCTTGTTTTATCATTTGATGTGAAGCAATTTTCTATTGATTTTTAAAAATTAAATTTATACTCTGTCCTTTTTAGCCATTGACATTGCTTTAGAAGACACTGAATTCAGCAGAAAATTTTACCTCTTTTACAGTGTTACCCATTGTAATGCTTCCCATTTTATTGGTAGAGGCCGTGCCCATTCTTATGATTGTAGGGGCACTTGCCTGCCATGGGCACTCTGTCCCCGGTCCCTAGTGAAGACCCAGTGCTCATCACCCTCTCCTTGGCATTGTGTGGCTTTAATGTCCAGGAATTCTTTGTTTTCTCTTTCTCTTCTGGCAGTTCTGTCTCATCCTTTGTTTGTTCTGGCCCAGGAGACATCCAGGAAGGTCCTTGAGGACATTCTTCCTAACGGAATCATTTCCTTAAAATGCTCAGCACACCATTGACACTGGCTGGGTTTGTTTTGTTTTGTTGAATTATAGTGTTAACTGCCCTAGTGAGTAAAATCCTCTGAGACACTGTGTAAAATAACAAGCGAAATGTGAATATGGGTCAGGACCAAAATTCAGACTCTGAAATCTGAAAAATTACATTGCAAATGGGTGGTTTTTAATTATCGATTTCAACTAAATAAAAGATAGCCTAGAATTCAAAAAACCGTCCTTTTCAAAACAGACAAAACACTGGTACTAAATCCTAGCCTCACTCTGGTTGTGCAAGTGAAGTCAGCTGTCTTTATGAAACAGGGATATTAACAGAGGGGCCGCCGAGATGCAGAAGCGTTACCCACCCCCTCTCCCAGCCCCATCTTCACCTGATGTCTTCTGAAGATTTGAGCAAGCCCCAGAAATTAACCATCTCTTATTCCGCAAGCTAGATAATCCCCATTACTGAAATCCCCCAGTGAGAATCCTCCACTGCTCAGGGCTCAAGAGTGGTTATTGTGGGGATGGCTTAGACCAGGGCTGACCCACCTGTAGCCAGTGGGCTGCATGCAGGTTATTTGAGGACTATGTTGCTTATCTGTGGTAGTGGATATTGTGACAAGTATGGACCTTTTTTTGATTTTTACTCATCAGCTTTTGTTAGTGCTTGTATATTTAACGTGTGGTCCAAGACAACTCTTTATTTTTCCACTATGTGGCAGAAAGGAAAAAAGATTAGACACTCTGGTTTAGAGCATTCAGGGAAGGCGGGACCCCAGGGAGCCCTGGGGAGAGGAGCCTCTTTGTTGGGGATGGGGGATAATTCATGTGGATGGGATTCATGCAAAGTGCCTTTTATCTTTTTAAATTATTGTCTTTGTCCTTTTTGTACTGCTATGTCGGAATACCATGGACTGGGTAAATCATAAGGAAATTCATTTCTGGGAAGTGGGAAGTCCACTATCAAGGTGCTGGCATCTGGTGAGGGCCTTCTTACCTATCATCCTGTGGTGGAAGGGGAGAGAGACTCATCCTTTTATTAGGAACCAACTCCTGCAGTAGCAGCATTAATTCTCTTCATGAGGGTAGAGGCTTCTTACAGGTCCCACCTTTCAGTACTGTCATATTGGGGATTAAGTTTCCAACAAATGGACTTTGGAAGGCATATTCAAACACTAGCAATTTTCATAAAACATAAAGACTTTTTTTTAACTACATGTGACTTTCAATGCATATATAGATATGTGGGATACAGAGTAGCTCCATATCCCTAAAATTTCCATCATGCTGTCCTTCTAGTGTAACATCCTAATGTCCCATGTATAACCCTTGACAATTACTGATTTAGTCTCCTTTCACTATAATTTTATCTTTTCAAGAATGTCAGTTGGAATCGTATAACGTGTAATTCTCTGAGGCTGGCTTTTCTCAGCAGATGCCTTTGAGATTCACCTACACTCTTGCATATAGGAACCATTTGCTCCTTTCTACGGTGTAGTATTTCTTACCCAGATGTGTCACACTTTGTTTAGCCATTCCCCTGTTGGAGAATATTTGGGTGTTTCCAGCTCTTGGCTTCCAGGGATGACCCTGCTGTGAACATTCACATACGGACTTTGCCACAATGTTTTATCCTACAAGAAAGATCTGATGGAATCAGTGAAAACCCAAAAAGGGGTGAAAAATAACCTTTAAGACAGAGTTTTACCTCTGGGAAATTGCTATAAAGATTTACCTGTTGTAGGTCCTACCAAGACAAAACCTAGGAGCCAAGGGGCACGGCAGGTGTCCAGCAGCTGTGCTCCTGTCAGCAGCATCTGTGGGTGGAGGAATCAAGAAACATTTGCCTCGCAGACCTTTCTGGCTCAGCTGCTGACTTTCCTGGAAGTAGACAGCTTACCAGCAAGGTCCACAGGGTGTCACTGGGAGGGGAGGCTCAGGGACGACTGGGAGCTTGGTGAAACTTGCTAGAGAAGCAGCCAAAAGTAGATGAATGTGTGTTTCTGGGATGTGTAGCAGCCTCCTGCACAGGCAGAAGCAGCAGCCGTGTATGTTTGTGGCCAGAGGCTGCCATGTCCTCCCCAGCCTGCATGAGAGGGGTGGCATGCTCCCTTGGCTCAAGCCGATTTTCACAGGTGGAGATGACAAATGGCCTGTCCTTCATACCATCGGCTCTGGGCAAAGGCTCCCTGAGTCTCTTTTGCTCTATAGCTCTAATGTTTTTTTTTTTTTTTTTTGAGACAGAGCCTCAAGCTGTCCCCCTGGGTAGAGTGCCCTGGCATTACAGCTCACAGCAACCTCCAACTCCTGGGCTCAAGCGAGTCTCCTGCCTCCGCCTCCCAAGTAGCTGGGACCACGGGTGCCCACCACAACGCCTGGCTATTTTTTGGTTGCAGCCGTCATTGTTGTTTGGCGGGTCCGGGCTGGGGATTTGAACCTGCCACCTTAGGTGTACGTGGCTGGCGCCTTAGCCGGTTTAGCTATAGGCGCCGAGCCAGCTCTAATGTTTTAATATTGATTCCCTCTTACACTTAGAGCTGCTAAGACAATGGGGATTAGGTTTAGGAATTTAACTCCCTGGAAACCTCTGGGTGAAAAGAACTTCAGTTGACTCCCAGTAGGGAGAAAGGGGAAGAAGGGAGAGTAACAGAGGTGAGGGGACTGGGAGAGGCCTCTCTCTTTCTCTGCCTCACGCTGACTGGCCCCACACTCCTGTGTAGAAAGTTTTAATTTTCACACTAAATATCAGTTGCCTGTTTTCTTCAAACTGCTTTGCAGAGCCTGCATTTCTAATTGTTTGCTTTTCCCAGCCCTTGTCTTTGCTGTTTTCCTCTCCTCATCTTTTACTAAGTCTACAGTTTTCCCTCACACCAAAGGATAACATTGTTCTGATGAACAGAATTGCTGAATGTGTGTGTGGTCTGTCAGTCGTGTTGGAAGAGGGGGCGGCCCAGTTGGCTGGCATTGCCCAGCAGCGTGATACTGATTGTGTGGCCTGGCACCTGCAGACACTGGCCTGTGCTGTCACATGTAGCCATCTAAGAGTGAGCACTTATTTGTGGCGGTTTCTGATTCATAAGCTTCCCATTCTGTGTCCTTCCTGGGACTCTTGAGTAATGAAGCTATCTCATCATAATTGTTTTTCATTAGTTTCTGATCTCGGTAGTAGTGTGTTGTGTCCTCTTTGCTCAGCATAAAAGGAAAAAGCTATTATTTGGGTTAGGAAGGGAGATATTCTTTCCAATAGTTATGCCTTAAAATAGTGTTAGAAAAGCTGGTGCTCTGAAATCATCCGTGTGAAGTGTTGGTTTTATTTCTTCTGAGGCAAGTTGGTATGTTTAGAATAATTTTGAAATGTAGGTAGTATTTTAAGAAATTCAAAGGTAGTAAAATAAGTAGTGATTGAAGATGAGTCTGAAATTTGAGGTGGAATCATTTGTGGAGGAGACTGGACTGTCAGCTCTGAGCCCGGGGCTTCATAGCAGTGTGTTCAGTGACTTCTGTTGCCTGAGCCAGAGCCTTTCCCTCCCTCGTTTACAAGATAAGGGGCCTGCAGTAAATTTCTGCCAGGTTCCTT